TAGAAATATTTGAATAATACAAGAACCTCGTAAAAAGTGACAATTAATTAAAATGTTGAAAATGGTATTATCAAGAGACTGAAACTGATAAAAATGTATAGAACAGGACAGCCCTAGATTATAACACGCAAGCACGATGTAGAAAAGATAAGGTGATACCACTTGTAAATATTCCGGTTGCAAATTTTCTCGGCAGTTTGGTGGTACAAATACAAATGTCTCGTGCAGGTAGCTCCATCATTTGCCCGAAGGCCGGTTTTTATATTGTGAATACTTTGTTTTTAATGTAAAATATCAAAAATTAAATACATTTTTGTCATTTTTGATACTATTACTTCAAAATTTAAAATATCAACTTCTTAAGAATTAATTTTAAGTAATTATTTTATTCAATTAGGAAATTGTATTATATAATTATTATATTTTAACAACTTAATGTGTACTGTTATATGAGATAAGACTGCTTCGCTAAATTTTGTTGTCTTTTATTTTTTTTTCTCGATTGGCGTTCTCTGCATCACATACAAAATACATTCTGAATTGTAAATAAAATACTATAATATTTTTTGTTAACGCATTCGTCAATCATCAATTTATAAGTAATATTATTAGGTTTATATTATTATTTTAACTGATAATACATTCTATTCCCTATTGTTGATATTATATCTTCTCTACATCGTGCATGCAAGGTAGGTTTATAGATTATAACAACCAAGACTATGGATCCAGTGCAACTGCGCAACGGTAGTGGCGCGAAGCTTGGTAAAAAAAAAAGCGGAGCGGTCACGACTGTAGTATAGTACATTACACGAGCCAGAGTTTGCCCAATGAGTGTGTGTACATTTGCTCATCTTCTTTAGCCAGTCCTACAGAATTAATGAATGGAAAGATTGGTGAGTTTGTGGTATCAATAGATAGGGCATGGTATGCAAAAAATGGTAGATTTTTATCGTTGAAAGAAACTCATGATACGATATGTGATCAAAACCATGATATAACTTATATACACGACGCAGTTAATGATGTAAAATTAACGAAATGTATTTTAAATTATGTATGTATTAAACACAATTATCAGAAAATATTAAGTAAAATAATAAAATAATATTGTCTTATCTTTATTGCTATTAGTTCGTAATTAGTTTCAGTCTAAAATAAAAAATAACCTAATATTATATATCATTAGGTTACTAATCATATTATAATTTGTAATAATCATTTAATTTTGATTAATCAAAAATCCTTGATACGCTAACGGTTATTATATATAT